TTCCAGAAATCGCTCCTCATTGCTCAATTATGTCACCCAAGAAACCTCTGTGCAAAATGTCATACTTTTAGAAGCGATTTTAACAAATTTTTGTACAAACTTTCACCCCTAACTTTACCTTCGCAGGGGATAAATTTCGAAAAATCAAGTTATCCACTTTTGTTACTTAAGAATCTCTGCGCAAAATTTTATACTCCTACGATAAATTTAAAAAAATCTACAAACTTCCACTCCTAGTTTCGGTAGTTTTACCCCCTTAAAGGTTGAATTTCCGAAAATCGCTTCGTAGTGTTCCATTACGCCACTTAAGAGAACTCTGTGCAAAATTTTGTACTCCTAGAACAGATTTTAACAACTTTTTATGCAACCTTCTATCCCTAATTTCGACCCCTTAGCGGCCGAATTTCAAAAAATCTCTACTTAGTAGTCACTTACATCACTTAAGGAACACATTTGCCAAATTTCGTGTTTCTACGACCCATGATAAATGGTAACTAATTGACATACTATAAGTAATAATAGTAATCAAAGTAACGATATGGTTTTAAATGCGGTACTCGTTACTTCGGGTATGGATGAGTAACGAGTAGTTACTTTTTCAACATCTCTATTCTAAATTCAAGTCTATGTATATGTATTATTTAAAAAAATCGAAACACAAATAAAATTGCTTTTCAGCGATATATCATGTTCCTATACCAAAATCTTCTGGTTTCTTTAGTAAAGTCTAATAAATAATAATTCTATTATAATTTTTAACAAAATGTAATGTCAGAACCTATCATCAATTGTCATTTTAAAAGTAAGCATGATGACATTTTTTTCAAGCTTACGGTATTTTCAGTAATAATAAAATATGGTAAGTATCAGTTTTTCCTTAATATTTCATTATTTTATACAACTTTCTTACGTTTTTCCTTTCGCTAAAACATTAATCGAATTTTTCATAATGTGGATGTATACATTTCTGTTAAAAATAACCCAATACATAAGTGGAAACTGAAACGCCACTGATTTGATGCAATATGACTTTTTTTAATGTTCTGCAATGCTTTTAATACATTTATCATGTTTTGAGTGCGGAGCTCCATTCTTGGCAAGCTATATAATCTTAAAGTTAAAAAAAAAAAGATTGTCTTCAACTATCATTAATCTTTTTCATCCACGTTTGTCGTTAGCAGCTATCGAAAATATATTTTTAAGTTTTGCCTGTCTTGATGTTATTTGACATTGGTATCTTCGTATATATGGAGAGAAGATATTGTACATCAACAATAAGGATTTGTTATTTTTTAATCTATTACTTTTTATTATAGCATTGAATTTATTAAAAGTGCCTATTTTTACTGTCTTACTGCAATACATATTATATAAGAAAAAATACTAAATTTACTGCAGTGATTATCGAAAACAATTAAAGGAGAGTAGATATTGTTGTTTCACATTCCGCGCCCTGTCACTCACTGTTCCGTGTTTCTCATAACTTTAAAATTACTTAAATAAATAGTTATTTTTTATACAAGACGATAAAATGGTATTTTTGTACGATAATGCAATTTTATCGTCGTGTATAAAACAATATTTTTTCCATGGCGAGTTACGTTTTAAAAAATATTCAGGAATTATTATTTCAAGGCATTTATTACTAGTAGAAAAAAATATTGTGCTGGGTTGGCGTTGGTTTCTATGTAATTTGACAAATAAATAAAGCTGTCTCTTTAGCTGTCAGTTATGAGTCAATATTTTTTAATTCTATTTCGTGTCGATAGCTGATTGAATTGGAGCCAGAAATGGATCAAAACGAAATAAGTAAATTACCAACAGATATTCAGGCTGAGGCGACAAACGCCATATCCAAACTACTTCCATTTAAATCCCGAATAACTTTCGAAAAGGAATACAAAAAAATGGAAGCAATTAAAAAACGTGCGAGAAGAAATAAAGTTTTTAACCTATCCTCGCTGTTAAAGTATCATTTAATCTACCCTTGCAGTTAAAGTACTATTTTATCTACTATTTTTGATAGGTATAAGGCAATTTAAAAAATACTTTTGTTATGATTTTTATTATAAAAATCATTCTAATATGGGCTAAACGGCACGCCGCTGTTGCCATAGATAAATCATATCGAATATTTATTAACTAAATTGATTTTGACACTCGAAATATTAGCCCGCTATTATACGACGGACAACAGTGGATTATATATTTCCCTCTATATAGATAATTAAATAATAATATTAAAAGCTTATATTATCTGTATTTGTCATCAAATATAGACGCGTGCGAGATTATCTTTTTAAATAACTAAATCTACGTTATTTATAATTTATTTATTGGTGACTTTATCACTATTTCAACATTATTGATGAAATAACAAATACGCAAACAAAAACACAAAGTGTATGGCAGTTCCCTCTACACATAACGGTTTATCTTCAGTCTTATAGTATGAATTATTGATGGGCATTAGGATTTTTTAGTGAATCGAATCACACGATTCAATTTCTCATATTCAATCAACTCCTACGATTCGTTCTTTTGAACAAACCACACACACAATTTACGTTTCATAAAAACAAGAATCGTAACTGGTACTACCGACGATAATTTGGTCGGACAATGACTTAAAGGATCAGAAAAAGAAATATACAGTTCTTTCATTTGTTTTTCAATACTTTATGGCACTAAGTAATCGAATTGATTATTTTACAAATAATATTAAATTATCAATCCAATTCATATGTACTATTCATTAAAGACTTCTAAATACCAATTTAATATTTTTAGAGCATATTTTAATTCCGATTTAATAATCATATAATAAATAGCATATAATACCGCATGATCGAAAAAAATGGTGTCCAGTTGGCTTGGAAATGAACATCGATGACATTCCCCCTTCATTCCCCATATAATTTTACATAAAAAATAACAGCGACCTTCATTTCATAACCATCGCTGACGCCGTTTTTTTATGGCTGTAATTAAACTGCCGTTAAACAGTAGCTTACTAAAATGCCGTTAATAGGTATGACGTCGTTGATGTGACGCACTTGACGGCTTTATGAAATATAGGAATTTTATAAGGACTAACCAACGCTATCCACCCTCCAAATAACTAACTTAACTAACGCAACTAACCTCGACACTGATAAAAAATATAAAAACAAATATAAATTAGTAAAAAAAACAACCCCACCAACTAACCAATGAATTAACACCTCCAAATAACCACGCTAAACAACCCGCCAAATAACTAAACCAATCTAACCAAAAAGAGTGAAACCAATGCACCGATTCAATTCTGGTGACTCTTTCTTACGACTCTTTCGTTCAAATTTTATAGAGCCGTGGGTAGATAATCAGACAATTCGGTATGTATGTATGGCTGACTGCATTATGTGTATATGTCGTGACAACGATAATAATCTGTATTAAGTTTTGCGTTTACTCCTGGTTTATTCTCAAGCCGTGTCTCTGAACAATAATACAACACAGCCTCTGAATAATAATACAACACCGTGCTGGCCACGATTCAATTGAACAAACCCTATTCTAAGCAGTGAATCGAATCTCACGATTCATTTTTAATACTTGTTCAAATAAACGACTCGTTCAATCTTTGCCCACCTCTAGTATGGAACAGCCAAACTCTACAAGCGTCATGTCAGCAATAATATTTTTATGCTGGGCTCTTTTATTTGCTTCTTAAAAAAACAAGGCTGGTTAGAGTCTTGCAGCAAGACCAAAACGAAATATTTCACTACAAGACTAAGACCAAGGGAGTCTTGATCTTGCATTTGCTCATAGCTAATAAAGACAATGAAAGTCCAAGGAAGTAGAGATGTTGAAAATTTAACTACTCGTTACTCGAGTACTCGTTACTCATCGATACCCGAAGTAACGAGTACCGCATTTAAAACCATATCGTTACTTTGATTACTATTATTACTTACAGTATGCCAATTAGTTACCATTTATCATGGGTCGTAGAAACACGAAATTTGGCAAATGTGTTCCTTAAGTGATGTAAGTGACTACTAAGAAGGGATTTTTGAAAATTCGGCCGCTAAGGGGTTGAAATTAGGGATAGAAGGTTGCATAAAAAGTTGTTAAAATCTGTTCTAGGAGTACAAAATTTTGCACAGGGTTCTCTTAAGCGGCGTAATTGAACACTAAGAAGCGATTTTCGGAAATTCAACCTTTAAGGAGGTGAAACTACCGAAACTAGGGGTGGAAGTTTGTAGATTTTTTTAAAATTTGTCGTAGGAGTAAAAATTTTGCACAGATATTCTTAAATAACAAAAGTGGATAACTCGATTTTTGGAAATTTATCCCCTACGATGGTAAAGTTAGGGGTGAAAGTTTGTACAAAAATTTGTTAAAATCGCTTCTAAAAGTATGACATTTTGCACAGAAGTATCTTGGGTGACATAATTGAGCACTGAGGAGCGATTTCTGGAAATTCACACGTTAGGGAGAGAGGGTAAAACTGGTGGTGAAATTTTGTATAAATTTTTTATAATTAGTCATAGGAGTATGATATTTTGTATATAGGTTTCTTAAATGGCGAAAGTGAGTACTTAGAAGCGATTTTTTTTGGAAACTCATCTCCTGAGAGGGTGAAATAAGGGGTGAAAGTTGTCTCAGAAATTTGTTAAAATGGGTTTTAGAAGTATGAAATTTTGCGTAGAAGTTCCTTAGGTAACGTAAAATTAAAAACGTGGGTACTAAAAATCTATTTTTCAAAATATGTCCCTTAAGCAGGTGAAATTAGACACAAAGGTGGACAGCAGTTGACAAAATTGACAGCAGTATCAAAATCAGTAAAGAGTAACGTAATCAAAGTAACGAATATTTGAAATGATTACTTAGTACTCGAGTAACGATTAGTAACGAGTAATCAAAAGTAACTAAAATCAACAACACTACAAGGAAGCGTTTCATCATAGTCTAAAATTTTTAACCTATTCCTGTAACCATAATATTTCACTCACCTGTCATTTTTTGGATACCCCGCAATAAATTCCGACTTTCTTCGGCCCCCGTCGGGCCCCGGGTCGTACGTCATCGTCACGAACGACCGATCCACCACGTCGGGAGCCGAGCCGCTCTTGAACGGCAGAAAAATCTCGTTGAAAATCTCAGAATCACTCATTTCCGTCTCGATTTTCTCGAACACGGCCACATCCTTGTACGCGTCCAGGCAATTCTCGTAATCGTTATAGTACTCGCGCAATTTGTAGGTTAACTTCACCGGCACCGGGATTTCTGTGTTGTCTAAAACGTTGGGTTCACTCACGCTTTTGCACACCTCCTTATGCGAAGAGGTAGAGTCCGTTGGGTATTGCACTAAGAAGAACTCATCACTTTCACAAATACTGTCTATGGTGTGGTTATCATAAGACTTTAGTTCGTCAATGTTGGATAATTCGGAGTTATTAGGGAAAAAATCAGTTGGTAAGCAAGGGGTAGAAGAACATCCTGGAGGTTTGGATGCGATTTCCTGAACAAAACTCGCCTCATTTACATTTGAGTTAATTAAATTAAACTTAGAGTTAGTAGGAGTGACATCGTTAGACTCCTTACTCCCACAATCTTCATTTTCATCATCAACCTCCTTACTTTTTTCCTTAATATTCTCCTCAGACAATGACTCATCCATACAAGTCTCATAATCATCCTTATCGCTCAGCGATGGCTTCTCGCTTTGAGTCAAACTCTCCATTTTCTCCAACACCGGTTGATTCTGGCTCTTCAAAATCAACTGAATGTTATTACAGTCGCCGTTAGTTCCGCTGTGATCAAGACAATTATCGTTGGTACTTTTGAAACTGATATCAATGTCGCTGTCGCCTATGCTGTCTCTGATGTTAAGGTAATTGTTTTCTAGGAGGTCTAAGTTGGAGACGTGGTTGTGGTTAAGGTGGAAAGGGCGTTTTTGGCCTAAGTCTTCTACCTGGGAGGTTGAAGGGGAATGGTTGAAAGAGAGGTCGTCTTCGATGAAGATGGGAACTGTAATGAGGTCTTCTTGAAACTCTTCGATGCATTCTTGGAAGTCTTCCAGGCAGGTGTGATCGTCTTCGGTGTCCTGAAAAAGTAGTCAAATTTTAGAAAAGTATATTATTATTTATATATAGTATATTAGTATCTATACAGGGTTGTTCACCACATACGACACGGAGTATTGTAGCTAAACGATGAGATTTTTACAAATTGTAAGTTTTGGGTTCGATGAAGGACTATTAGAGGTACAATTTAATAATAATTTTACAAGATACAGAGTGTCCCAAATAAGTAAAAAATATCAAAGTTGTATTTTTTTAAATGGAACACCCTGCATATTATTACATTTTTAGTTTCTACGATTAAAATAAAGGTAAATTTGATTAAGGTTTATTACACTTAAACCTTACCGTTTTTGAAATATTTTCAATTTTGTGAAATAGCAGTAAAAATTTTAAGGCTTCGTTTCTCCAAAGGGTATCAATTTAATACTAAATATTTACTGAAGTCTATTTATTGATCAGTTATTGTGTTGCAATAATAAAAATAATACTACCTCATACAGAGTGTCTAAATATTTATTTTAAATTATTTCTAGCTTTAAACGGCAATAACTTGTTTAATTTAAATGGAACACCCTATATATTTTACGAGAATCAGATGCACAATTTAATTGTCTATCAAATTATATTATACCATTTTTACCTATCTCTTTAAGTTTCCGTAGAAAATGCATTTTCTTGTAATTTAGAACTTATTTATCAATATACCCATGGACTATTGACATTTTAGATTATTTTTAAAGATGTACCAAATTTTTAAAGAGTACAGATACTAATATTGTCGATATAATTCGTTTATTTCATTAAAAATAAAAAAAACTGTTTAAATATTTGTTAAAGAGGATCAATTAATATGATTCCAGTATTCAAACTACATTAACTGACTGTTTGCGTTGATTAATAATAATTGCTCCAAATACTAAAAAACTGAATTTTGTATGGGCATTAGACAGTGTGATAAAAAGTAACACCTTAAAAATGATATTTCATTTTTTAATAAATGCTTATTTATAACAACAGAGACTTTAATTTGATAACTTTTTATTATATTGATTTCTGACTCAAATCCACATTTATTTATAATAATTTATTAACGAACACAATTAAGTATGTAATTAATTAGTATATGGACGGAATTAATGGTGTTATATTTAATTAATGGTATACTCTTTTATAAAGATTTAAATAGTTTTCTTTTTGCATACAAATGGGCTAGTAATATTATCGTTTTGCTAAAAACAATAATATTACTAGTCTGTACATTTTGTACATTTGTTGCTTTAAAAACAATCTAAAATGTCAATATTCCATGGATATATTGATAAATGAGGTCTAAATTATAAGAAAATACATTTTCTACGAAAACTTGAAGGGATAGGTAAAAAATGGTATAATACAATTTGATAGACAATTTAATTGTGCATCTGATTCTCCTAAAACATACAGGGCATTCCATTTAAATTAAAGAAGTTATTGCCGTTTGAAGCTAATAATTATTTAAAATAAATTTTTAGACACTCTGTATAAGGTAGTATTATTTTTATTATTGCAACACAATAACTGATCAATAAATAAACTTCATTAAATATTTAGTATTAAAAAACATTGATACCCTTGGAGAAATGAAGCTTTAAAATGTTTACTGCAATTTCACAAAATTGAAAATATTTCAAAAACGGTAAGGTTTAAGTATAATAAACCTTAATCAAATTTACCTTTATTTTAATCGTAGAAACTAAAAATGTAATAATATACAGTGTGTTCCATTTAAAAAAATACAACTTTGATATTTTTTACTTATTTGGGACACTCTGTATCTTGTAAAAATATTTTTAAATTGTAGCTCTAATAGTCCTTCAACGAACCCAAAACTTACAATTTGTAAAAATCTCATCGTTTAGCTACAATACTCCATGTCGTATGTGGTGAACTACCCTGTATACAGGGTGGCGCACCTCATTCTGTACAGAGATGTAGAAACAAAATATTTTATGGGTAAATGTGGGAAGACAATGTGCATAACTTAAAATTATTTTGAAATGTACGGGGTATGTCAGAACTATGATCCACACGATGTTAAAGTTATATTTTTTCTTATGGAACACCCGGTATTTTATGTCATATTTGGATCCTTGGACACAAAATAAAGCATCAAGCTTTGGTTTTTGATATATTTAAAGATATTTAAATATGCATACTATATTTTTTTGTGCTGACTTTTAAGCCAGAGAAATAAATTTTACTGAAAAATTTGATTGCTTCGTTTAATGTATACAGGGGTATCAAAAATTGCTGGTCTATTTTAAATATTTATTTTACATCAAAACTTCGTTATTTCAAATACAACACCCTGTATTTTTTTTAAATAAATCGAAGCACAACGAAGCAATAAATCGAAGCACACAGAAATTCAAATTCTTTTTCAAACTATATAGGGTTTTCTAAACCTATCTAGCTCAGATTTTGAATAAATAGGAATTTTTCAATAAAACGGCAACCAAGAGGACTGGTGTCATCATGGCAAGTTTCTATTGACAGTTAGTAGCTATTTTCAAAATCAAAATTAGTTTATGGACTTTATTTAAATTTATAACAGTTTACTTTTAGTTAATTTACCAACAATAATTTAATAAATAATATTTATCAAATATGTGATTATTATTCTATCAAGAAAAATAAAAAAATATTCTTTGATTTCCTTTACAATGACTTGTAGATATATGGATTTTCTACAAAAGGTCCAATTACGGCAAATTCATTTTCTTCACTTCCAACGACAGGTTTTTTACAAACCACAATACTAGCTCTGCGAAATAGGACAAGTAGCTTTTCAAAGGAACACTTATCAGAAAGATTCCTATTTGGATATCTTTGAGCATAAGCCCTTAAGGCCAAGAATCAATTTTCTTCACAAAATAAAATCACTAGTAACACAAATATATCCATTCGTTCCGCCAGCAGATACTGCTTCATTTTTCTTGATAAAATAATAAATTAACTTACGTACTAAACAATTGTGGGTAAATTTAAGTAAACTATTATAAATCTAAATAATAATGTCCATCAACTAATGTTTTGAAAATAGTTACTGTCACTAGAAAATTGCCATCGCGACACCTGCCATCTTGATTGTCTTTTTATTGAAAAATCGCTTTTTATTAAAAATCTCAGCTAGATAGATAAAGGAAACCCTAATATAGTTTGAAAGAGCATTTAAATCTGTTTCGATTTATTTTAAAAATACAGGATGTTGCATTTGAAATAACAAAGTTTTTATGTAAAATAAATATTTAAAATTGATCAGCAAGTTTTGGTACCCCTGTATAAATTTAAGGAAGCAATAGAATTTTTCAGTAAAGTTTATTTCTCTACTTTTAAACTCAGCACAAGAATTAATTCTGAAACGTAATGTACAGGGTGTTGATACTCTATTCTATTGTAGCATGCATATTTAAATATTTTTAAATATCTCAAAAGCCAAAGTTTTTAAACATATTTAACCCTTATAATAAATACATTTTCTTGGCCTAAAAATCCAAAAATAAAATAAAATACCGGGTGTTCCATAATAAAAAATATAACTTTGGTATGGATCTCAGTTCTGCAACAACCTGTATACTTCAAAATAATTTTAAATTGCACACATTGCCTCTCTACATATACCCATACAATATTTTGTTTTTACATCTTTCCGTTTTCGTATAATCCACCGAGGCGAATGAGATGCGCCACCCTGTATAGTATATTTATTATTAGAAGGTAGTTATATGGACTTTACAATTTTTTTACGTTTATAAAGAACTTATCACTAATAAGTATTCTAGTTTGTTATTGCTCCTTTATAATAAGTTTTTTTATGCCATATATTGTAAATTTTAAAAACCTCTAAAAGAACTAGCCAGGCACACTCCCTATACTTACATCCCCTACACAATGCTTTATGCATTAGATTTTCCAAGAAATCGAAACAGCTACTTTGTACACAATAAGAACCGCAAATGCATTTTCTACTATTCGTGCCCGCAGCCAGATTGTTTTAATAAGTAATGGGCCATTTCCTGGAATTGTAATTGGAGTATCAGTCCGGGGTATGGATAAGAGTAATGACCATGCGGTTGGTAGTCTTGGAACAGCGATTTGTTTTATGAATAGGGTTGGTTAGGAGTGATTTGAGATAAGGCCGGATGTATAGAATCGTAAATATATGTAATGTTTTTAATATCAGGAGAGATAATGTCATTTTTGTCTTTTCAAGATCTTTAAAATAGCGTATGAAGTTTTTTATGGGCAAAGTTAAATTTAATTATTTGTTTTTAACAGGGTTATATGAATCACTAACTATATGTTTACAAAATCTAAAATATTTACTTCCATAACTGTATGTTATCGCACCCTTATAACTTTTTAATTTTTTCAGAAAAAAAAAAGAGTGTTGGTATACTAGTATATGACATAATTTAAGATTGATTGACGTATTCAATTATTTTCGGTCACTTTCTGTTTCACCGGAAGTGACTACAACTTTTGATTTTTAAATGGCGCCCTCGGTATTTTTTTACTTTATTCGATAGAAAAATGACATACCATATGTCAGCTTTTAACATTTTCGCGTATGGTTTATTTGAAATTGTAACATACGATTTATAACGATTAGCCACTTTACTAGTGAGACGCATCCGTTATATGTAAAGTTTTTAACAAGGAGAGAGAGAAATAATTTCAGTTTTATCTCGTTAAGATTTTTAAACATCTTATGATGCTTTTATAGATTTATTTAATTTAATTATACTAGATTTTAGAAGTCCCAAAATTATTAATAGTAATATGTATTTGACGTCGCGTCGGCGTCGTCTCGTTAGTATTTACAAATATCATACGTCGCGTCGGCGTCGTCTCGTTAGTATTTACAAATATCATACAAAATTAGTGTAAAAAACTAAACGTTAATAGGATATTGTCAAATGTACAACTAAAAAATTACATTTGTTATTAAAAAATAAAATGTCAGTACCCTGTCTATTCT